CAACACGTACACAAAATGGGTGTAGCGGAGATGAGGATGCTTCGTGGGAGGTGTGGGCACACGAGAAAGGATAAGATTGGGAATGAGGATATCCGAGGTAAAGTAGGAGTAGCCGAAATTGAAGGAAAGATGAGAGAAAATCGGTTCCGGTGATTTGGACATGTGCAAAGAAGGCCTACTGACGCTCCGGTTCGAAGATGTGACATGACACAAAACCGAGCGCAATGGCGTTCTAGGATTCATATAGCCGACCCCACTTAGTGGGAAAAGGCTTTGTTGTTGTTGTTGGCGTATTTAGAGAACAATAGCGTAGGAATGACAGTTTTCGGGTTCACAGAGGATTGAATGTGGCTTCACTCCATTTTTGCATTCCAAATGGCTGTTCTGCTATGGCTGCTAAACAAGAAGATATCAAGATTTTGATTTGAGGTCGTCATATATTTTTGAGATTAGGATTCAGTCAATCAGCAATTACGTTGTTTGCTAGCTTAATAAGCCTAAACACATCACTACACCTTGTGTTGCTGGTGGAGATGAGCCAAATGTTATAGCCGTAAAGATTAATTGTTAATTAGTGTTAATTGGAGAGTTTAAGGAAAATGAAGAAATACGAAAGGGAAATTCGGAGAAAGGAAGCATTCTATTTGCATAATTGCTTTTTAATACATATTTTGGATGCACCAAAGGTAATCAAACACTAATTAATTATTTGATCATCACAGAACATCTGTGTTTTAGCTGATCCTTCCCCATCTTATTTATATCATGCACTGCACGCACACCCTTCAGACACGAGGAATTTTACACATCAAAATAGTAATTAAAAACACATTAGCCCATATCAATTTATGAACAGCAATCTAGAAAATTGTTATCAACTAGCACTCAAAAACAGTCACCATACACTTTTATTTCTTTTACTAGGGACGAGTGCAAGATGATTTTTTTAAGTGTCAATAGCAACTCAAATAATAAAAAAAAATTGAGAGAGAGCTTACGATCCACAATCGATTTTGGGGTCGAGAGGAACGGGAAGGGACACATGGCAGAAATCAGGAAGCTGCTTGAGTCTGTCAGGGTTGATCGGCATGCCAGCAGCTGCTTTCTTGAAGCATTCACATTGGTTCCTGCGACACTCTCTGGTGGTAGCCGCAGCCTAAACGGTTTGCACACCAACGCAACATGTAATCGGAGGAGTCCCGGGGCCAGACCCCGTCAAGTATTCCTTACATGGCATCAAATCCATCAAGGCCTGTTGGCATGTGATGTCGGGATTGGAAGGACTTGCATGGTTCAGAACCATAACCATTGATAGAGATAGTGCACTTGAGATGTTGACACTTGTCTAAATCCTAGATAGGCAGTTAGTTTAGTAGAATCTAGTGAGTTGTATAAATACCTCATTCATGTAATAACTTCTTAGTTAAGTAATCAATACATGAGAAATAGCTTGAGCTTTTCATATCTCTCTCTCTCTCTCTCTCTAAATTCTCTCTGTGATATTGTTCTTACAAATTCGTAGTATATACATTAACAACCATCAGCCCGAAAGGATCACCAATTTCATCTCCATTTTCTTTTGGAACACAAAAACAAGGCAAATATTTAGTTTGGATATGCAGAAGACTTGAAGAATTGAGTGTGACTTGGAGCATGAACTGCATCCTCTTCTTATAGGGGAGTCGCAGGCTGCTTTTTAGTGGCTCATTTAACGTGTATAGGTGCAGTCAAGATTTTTTCTCCTCCTTAAAGAGTTACTTTTTTTCCTTAAACAGCTGGTTTTACTTAAAAGTGAAAACTATGTCAGACCAAAAGAAAAACAGGTTCAAAACTAGGTAAAAACCACAGGCTTCAACTAATGGAGGACATTGCAAATACCATTAATAACCTGTGTTTCTTTTAGTGTTTTGGATTTTCATAATATTAATTTTGCTTCTTATTTTTCCGCATTTCTAACAATTTAAAATGCAAAGGAGCTCTTAGCTAGCTCTGTTGAGCATTCATTTTTGGATCTGAAGTCTCAAACCCTAGATATAACTTGTGTAAAACAATTCGAAAAAGGCAACACTAAAGCAAAAGTTGCACAAACAACTAATAAAAATCTCCACAATGACCGATATCTAGCAAAATCCGAATGTAGATGGATAGTATAATTATAATTTAATTCTTTATTTTTTAAGTTTAATTTTTGGGTTCAAAAGATTTTTCATGTATAGATTGTGAAGTTTGAATTAGGGGGTATTTTCGAAAAATTCATATAAACAAAACAACAACTAGTTTTTCCAGTTGAGAAAGCGTTGTATGATCTGTGACAGCTGGTTTTTAATTTTATGAAGAAGAAACGTTTTCTTTGCTGCTAAAACGCTTTATAGGCCAGAAATATAAAAAAACTGATCAACTGTGCTAAAAGCATGCTTGTATTTCAATAAAATCCAAAGCTAATTAACCCGTTGAGGATTAAAACTCAGCTCTAATCTTCTGCTCAATGGAACTCGTGAGTTTCTTGTGTTTGTTTGCATAACCACGTGTTTGGAGCCAGTGCATGCATTGTATATATTGAATCCAATTCTCAGGATGTAATTAGTCGGCAAAGAATTGTTGAAATTTTGATTTTTTGCTAACAAAGAAGAAAAACCAACTCGAACAATCCCGGGTTCGTTTGTCTTCCTCCTTAAAAACCCTAGCTAGCTAACACCCAACTCAGAGTACGTACTACATACGCAGGTCAAGTTTATGAATTGTGAGTTATGACGGATACTATATCATTATACATAAGATTACACTGACAATATTGAATATTATTAAGAGTGTTTCCCTACGGAGAGTTGCTGGTGACCTAACTCTTTATAAGCTCAGTAAAATTTCATAACTTAGTTTACGATGTGAGACAACACTTCACATTCTCAAACGCCTTGTCACATGTACGTATGATGACACTCAAGCTAAATACATGAACAACATTTATTGGGCAATGACATAGAACATGTGTTGTTGTTGGGCTTCAAAAAATGACCAACATACTATGATATATACCATGAATAAAGTTAATATTCTATATATATCTAGAGAAATTTGGAGCAATGGTCCTTAAATTTTCGTCCAGTTAAAGCTTTGGTTCTTAAATTAATAATTTATGAGTATTGATTAATCTTTGAACTAGTTATAATGTGGAGCAATTAATCAAAAGCTGGGTGGTGAAGGTGGGAATTAATTAAAGGCTTGGTGGATAATGTTGATTATGATTGGCTGATTTTCTGGAAATGCAAAGACTTGAATATTTGAGTGTGGCTTGGACCGTGAATTGCATGCTCCTATAAGAAAGTTGCAAGCATTTTAGTAGCTCATTTAATTTGGAGTTATGCAGTCAAGATTTTTTCTCCTCCTTCTCAGATTTGTTTTTACTTAAATTAAAAACTGTCTGACCAAAAGAAAACTGTGTAAAACCACAGGCGCCAACTAATGGAGGTGCTAAAAAAAAGTTGAGGTTCCACCATAAAATTACTTGACAATATAAGGAGTAGTTCAGTTACTTATAAGTAAGTGTGGCTGCTGGGCATCACACGCGGGACAACTGCTCTAATATTATGAAGAAAGTTGAGGTTTCACTATAAAAAAAAATTGGCAATATGATGAGGAGTAGCTAGCGCAGTTACTTATAACCACATACAAGGTCCCTCTTTTCCTCAATTTGGGATTGATACTCTCAACAGGCGCAAATATTTTTACTAGGGTAATGCTATGAAGACCAACTTTTTAACCCAAATTTTGTAAACTGTATGACGTGATTGTTGATAATTGGATTATTATTTAACTGTTAATTAACATGCTTATTTCATAATGCTAGATACACTAACTTTTTAGACCACATTTACAAACCATGTGAGATGTCATTAATAAAAAATAAATACGTTAATCAACACTTAAGAAAAGACACAAGTTCCTCCCTATAAGTATACTCTCATTTACCGCTCCCTCTTATCCTTTGATGATGATCGGTTGCATTTAACCATTTTTTATCCCTTAAATTAATTAATTAAAATAAAAACTTGCGGTCTCGGGTTCGAAACCCGCTGCTGGTGTGGAAGCCAGACTTATGGCCAAAGGGAGGCTGAAACACCTCTGTGAATCTTCCCGGCCCCCTAAAGGAATGGATAACCGTGGCTTGCAACTAGTTGTCCCTTTTAAAAAAAATAATAATAAGAATAATTAATTAGAAGGAAACGTTTTACTTATTTTGGTGTTGGGTTAGAGATCTAAAGAAGCCATGGAGAATCAACAAACAAACTGCAATGCTTCTGTCGTTAAGCAAGTTTTTGGTTTTTTTTTTTTTTTTTTCTTTTTTTTTTTTTTGCAATTTCTGGTTATTTGATATCTTGCTTTAGGAGTCCTTTTAATAAAGCACATAATTATTCTTATTTTGTTCTTCTTTACTATATAATATTCATGTTCATAAACTATATTTGTTTCATTTCCCCAGGAAACTTACATAAATATATATATTGAAATGAAAAAACAACTATGGAATGGTTAGTGCTATTCACATACTCATTTTTACTTCTCATGCACTCTTGTTAATTTTTGGCCTTGAATATTCTTCAATTTATTCGATTTGACCACTGAAAATTGATAGAGGTATATGAGAAGTAAAAATAAGTGTGTGGATAGCACTTTCCGGGATGATAATGTTTAACTTGTGTGAAAATTCCGACATTGAAGAGAAGATGCGCACGAGGACGCGCATAACCTTCACTCTCATGGGAACCATGGCATATGCTTGTTCTCTTGTTCTTGTTTGTTTTGTTTTTTAAAAGTTTCACCAATAGGAGGTTTTTTATGAAAAACTTGAACTTATAGTAAGCTAGCAAACAAATTAATACACTCTTGGTCAAGAGTTTGAAATGGTTTAGACGCTTAGAAAGCCTTGTAGCCATCGGATGGGCAATATTCTAAGGCACGTCCATGTCCACAGCCTTTCTTGGTGCTCGAAAATCCCGTACGGAATATTTTTTCTGAAAACAAGGAATTGGATATCAATCGGCCTCCTTCTTTAAGTTTCGTCATCCCCTTCACTTGTTCTCGTTCTTCTTTAAGGACTTATTTCTGCAATAATTTATCCACCCAATATTATGGCCGTAAGTCATTTTCTGTTTTTAGTATTGAAGTTCTTAGTGTATATCATGCTTTTTTGAATATTAGAATTTGACTTATAGCCACTAAATGTGTTTTTTCAATTGTTGAAGAAACTGATTATGATTTATTTCATATATATATATATATTATGATTTTAGGGCATATATACTCTCTGGGTTATGATTGGGACATTATTTCATTTTCTTAAGGAATATCAATGTTTTATTGATTAATTCATACCGTAATGACGGGATTTGAAACGATAAATGTAGATGTTTGTCTTCGTTGATTGGAGTCCTGCTCTCTAAGGTCCTCATTTTGAGGATCTGTCGTAATGTCATTTTTGTCTTCTGTCTTTAACCGTTATGTCGTTGATATTTAATCGATATGTTGTTTGATATTTAGTTTTTTTTTAGCTCATCAATTAAGTTTTTTATCATTTTAGTCAAGTTCCTTTTCTTCACGTGGGGATAATATGAAAACTTACCTACAATCGAATTGTTATTGTATATTATTAGCTTTGTTGAAAACAAAGAAACCTTCTTAATTAAAAAGATTACTTTGTTGCAGAAAAAACCCCACGTCCCCAAATTTGGCGACTGGGACAATGATTACAGTATATCATACACTGCATGTTTTGAGACCGCTAAAAAAAATGGAGTGAAGGGAAATCCAAATGACCCCGAAGACAATCCAGAGGCCTTAAAAGGCATGTTCGAGTCCTCCGCCGCACAACCTCCTAACAGCGCCTCGAGTTCGAGCAGCAAGCCACGAACCTCAAGCGAAAATGTACGCCAAACTGAGGGAGACACTAGCCACGGTGCGCTCCGGCCAAATGGCGTTGTGCATGAGCGTAGGGTTTCTGGAGGGAGCTTCAAGAGTTACAGATCGGAGTCTGGTAGCGAAAGGAGCAACTCCGATTATTCTCTCTTGCAGCAACAACCGAGACACCGCCGTGCGAGGTCGGAAAGAAAGAGCAGATTGGCTTCATCAGGGAGTGGTCGCAGTCATAGCATTCGTAGTCATAGCATTTCCAATTCTCCGAGCAAGCCTAAAAGTACTAACAGTAGTACTCATCAGTCTAGTGATCTTAGTCAACACGATACTGTAAGTTATCCTTCTTCATGTTTCTGTCTAATTATAGCATATATCTGAATTCTCTGCCTTTTCTCCCTTCCTATTTGAACGCTAAAGATTAAACCACATCATCATCTTATTTTACCTTTACTGTAGAGAGAAATAAGAAGAGGAAACTGAGAAAGGAGGGAAGGGAGGAGAGATTTTTCAGTGTGCAGTAACACGGCTCGATACAAGTGTCATTATACAATTGGTTAGAAACCTATGAAAAAAAAATTCTAAACAATTGTAGTATGACACTTGGTTTACCGAGTCGGGGCACACTAAAAAAAATTCAATAGGGAAGGGAAATAATCCAACTCCTTATAGCATAAGGTTTATTAAACATATTAACAAGGAAAAGAAATGAAAGTGTAACAATCCCATTAACGTTATAATACGCGTATATCTATTTATTGATAGTGTTCCTTAATTCATAAAACAACAAATCTCATATCTACTCATATTATAACACGTAAAGTGTGATCGTCACACTAAAAAATATATTTGAACATAGAATTCATTGCTAAAGCGTGCAAAATTTGTACTGTGACAGCATACAAGAGTATCTTCAATACCCAAATTTGGGGATTGGGATGAAAAGGAACCCAAATCTGGTGAAGGTTTTACTTACATATTTGAAAAAGTGAAAGAAGAAAAGAAAATTGCATCAGCGTTCCCAGTTGTGCCTCAACAACCAAGCAACAATCTCAACAGTGCGAACGAACGTGAAAAATCTCCGTCCAAATCAAAGGTAATTTTGCGGCCAAACCGAGTTTTGTGATTATATATTCACGATATTGTAAAATATCTTCGACGAATTACTTCTGATACATAACTTCTTGTGTTCTTGTGCAGAGATGGTGCTGCATCTTTTGAACCGAAAGACAGTGAGATGGATAGTATTTCACATGTTTAATATTTATGTAAACAAAGGATTTCTAGCATTTTATTTTGTTAATGGAAGTATATTTGAATTTTTTTTAATAAACGATATTTTCTACGTTAAAGGAGTGGAGGAGTATGTTAAGCCTCACAATAGATTAACCATAATAATGTGGTTCAAATTCGCTTTTTGGCGATAATCGAACATAATATCTCTCATTTATAAGTAAAGAAGATTTAAATTCAGTTTGTTGACATTGCTATTCAAGTTCTTTATTTTTGAAGTGAAAATTACCTTTTGAATTTGAATAAATTTTTCAGTGTACCGGTAACACGGCCCGGTACATCAATTGTCATAATAAAAGTAGTTCATTTTTTTTTTCAAATATTTAACCATTTATATTAACATTTAAATGTTGTTGATGCACAAAATTTGGAGGATCTTAGACCAACGTAAATCCGGTCGTGAATCACACAAACGCACAAGAACACAAAGATGTATCGTGGTTCACCCCAATATTTGGGCTACGTCCACACTGATGTTGATTCAATTTCACTGTATAAATGTATGAATTACAATAGATCAGCAAGGGTGCTCTCTGTGGATGCAGCCCTTGCCATTTTGCTCTCTGTTTAGCTGAGAGGGTATTGCCCTCTATTCTTGTGAGGATGAATGTGAGACTCTGTCCCTTAGTGAAGGTGAGACTCTCTAGTTCCTCTTAGTGAAGTTGAGGCCCCTTTTTATAGAATAAGGGTTTCCTCCCTTCTTACATAAATCATGGGCTTAGGGATGAGGCCCAAAGACAAGTCCCAATATATGGTACCAACAAGAGTCCCCCAAGTCTTCAGTCAAGAAAGTCTTTTGGCTGGAGACTTCAAATCCAATCCATGTACGGGGCAAAGTGACTAGATGTCTTGAACCAATATTCAACACAAGGCAATGCTTAACATAAAGCAATACTCAGTTAGAGGTATCACACGTTGAGAGACTACTCGGCTGGAGGCGATGCTCGTTGCGAGGCTGCTCAACTAGAGGCTATGCTCCCGACGAGGCGGTTACTCGGCTGGAGGCGATGCTCTTTGCGAGGCTGCTCGGCTAGAGGCTATGTTCGCTGCGAGGCGGCTCGGCTCGTGGTGTTCCTCATTGCAAGTATGTACTTTATGTCAGCGTGTACTCAATATGAGTTGATTCTCGACATGATTTGGGTTCGCTTGTCAAGTTCGCATATTGGGTTCTTTTAATCAGCAACAATGTTGATCAATGGATCTAGTTGCTCAATAATTCCTGACAATAAATGACAGTATAAGTATGACCGTATAATGAATAAATCAAATTGACAAAGTTTGTCAAGGCAAAATATTGTACTATGTGTCTTCTATAAATAAATAATTTATTCAGTTGTGTGGTAAATCACATGTTGTAGAAGTGACATAGTTTAATGGCAATCACAATACTCTAGGCCAATAAATATTGTATAACAAAGTTTTACCCTACCACTTTAAATAATGAAGTCATGAATGATTAAAGATGCAATAATAAAATATTAATTAATAAAATAATTATAAGGAAGATTGCAGACAAGCGTTTGTAAAGCATATGCACATTGTAAAGCAATTTCAAACCGGGAATGCACTACATAGGTGTGATAGAAATGATGTGACCTCATTATGCATACTGTAAAGTAAGTGCTGTCACTTTCCAGTAATGATGTGATGATGTGGTTTCCAGTAATAGGACCACCACAAAATGATAATGAAATATTAAATAGTAAAATAATTAATGAATTTGGAGAACATTTATCTCCTTTATTGCTTTTCCTGTGACTTTTTCAGAAAATGGGCAGGGACATGCATTCCCCTTCATGATTCCCCTTCATGATGAAAGTTTTATCTTTCTCAGAAGTTGGCGGGCATCTTCTGACGGCTTGGTGCTGCAGAGAGCACTGAGCTTTCTGGAAAGCAAGTTTCCAAGCAGTTTCATCGTAGGCATGAACATGTAGAACACAGATCTGGTCAGGGAGAGCTTCTTTGCTAGGAAGAGACTAGATGTCACGGCCGGATTTACGTGATCATCGAAACCCAAATCAGAGGTGGTGGAGATGGGGCCACGGCTACCATCGGAGGAAGCCCTAAAGGAAGCGGAGGCGGAAGGAGAAGGCTTAGAAAGCCTACAATCGGTGGAGGCTTTTGGGGCTAAAACCACAGGGGAATCTCCAGGCTTCATGACGAGAAAATCATGGAAGATGGCGTGCTTCCTCCGCTGCTGCTCCTCTAGCTTCTGCTTTTGCGGCTGCTGCTTTTGCTGTTGGCTGCTGAGAGTTGTGGCATTGCTGTTGGGGATGCCTTGCCCGCAACCATAGCATTAGACGTCATGGAGGTCTGTATGCTACACTCATAATAAATAACACCTAGAAGAAAGAGAGGGGGAGGAGAAGCCCCAAATGGCGGAGGGCCATTATTCTCTGCATGCGACCTGAATCCTCAATCCAGTACGGAAGAGTCCAAAATCCAGCGAATAATGCAGAGGAAGACGGAGACGACCACTCCTCTGTATCTGCGTACGTGCGTTTATCGCTCTGTGCTATTTGTAATTGTATGTTGAAAGCAAGGAGAGAGAAAGAGAGAGAAATGTGGTAATGAGTATAGAGAGTGGGTTTTCGAAAGGAATAAGCAACAAACAGCAATGGGGAAGGTTTGTCCTGGTTCACGCGCTTGGCGGCCTGGAGGGCGACCACCAGATCAGACACCCATGATTCTGTTGGATCGGAATTCGTGGAAGAAGTCGACGCATCCAACGGTCCAAATTCATTGTCTTTAAACACCCCTATCTCTTCGAACAAATGCATTAGCAAGGCGATTCGCCGGACCAGATCAGTGCAGTCATTCTTAAACATGCTGGTAACATCGCCGCCGAACTTCCTTGCACCAACGACGTCGTTTAGTAATTGCAGTAACTTCAATGTACGGTCGATGCCGCCGGCTATTGCTCCAGGCATTGGGTTCTTCTGTTTTCCATTTGTCTATGGGATTCTTTGCGGGAAAGCGAAGGAAAGTTCGGGGTGTGGTTCATAAGGAACACAACCCGCACCGTGCAGTTAGAGACTATCGCGACGGGTGGCGCGTACATGTGTGAGGGATTGGCTGTTGGGTTTGGAAGTGACACGTTTGGAGGTTCCGGATGTGTCTTGGGTGTCTTTGTGGCGAATGAAAGTTGATGTTTGGTGACGGGTGTTGTGGAGGTTCTTGGGTTTCTGTAGATTCACGGTGGAGTGTGGTGAGGTGAAAAAATGAAAGAGAACCGACATAGCTGTTCGTGTTGTTTTCCACAGACGGCGCCAAATGTTGATGCACAAAATCCGGAGAATCTTGGACCAACGTAAATCCGACCGTGAATCACACAAACGCATAAGAACACAAAGATGTATCGTGGTTCTGGTTGTTTAATTAGATGGTGATGGTCGAATTACCGGAAACGAAGCCACTAAGTTCTTCGCCATGTCGAGGCTTTCTCGTGAAGAACTCAAGCAGGTTTTTCATTCATTTGTGATAGCAGCCTAATAAGCTTCTTTGTTTTAGGGATTGTTTATGTATAAATCACTTCTGCTCATAAGTGCTTTTAGTAAAAATACTGTGAAAATTTTGTCAACTACTTATTTGAAAGCACGTTACACTTGCTCAGAAGCACTTCTAAATTTTGTGCCAGTCATTGTCAAAAGTGATTTTAGTTGTGAGAAAATGCTTTTATCTTTTCCGTAAGTAGTACTAAAACTATAATATTCGACTAGGAAAGTACGATTCTATGGTTTTACCCTTTGGTCTATATGTGTTGGAAGTTAATTTGATTGTATTTGGGATTAGGGCATATGATTGTTTGGAACTCACTTTTTGTTTTCTCATTTATCATTCAAGGTTTGGGCGATTGCTGACACGAAACGACAGGGATTTGTAGGTTTTTCGGAGTTCGTTACTGCAATGCAGGTTGTGCATGATTTTTGGGATATATTTCCTTATTAGTGTATGTTGTATTAGGCTATTGAAAATTGCCATAGAATCTTTCCCTCATTTGTGGTTGAATTTGATAGATGATTTCTTTAGCACAAGACCATGAATCAACCCCCGACATCCTCAAAACTACAGGCAAGAAAGTTTGTTTAATATCGTATTTCCTGTTTTTGTAAATGTGGAAGAATCCAACATATACATTTTATCTATGTCTCATTCGATTTGTTCCTCAAGTTCTTCATGTTCAATTGCAGTTGATTGGGAAAACAATAAACCTCCAGTTATAGAAGGTTTGGATGATTTGGTAGCTGTGAGTATCTTCCTTTTCCCTCCCTTTTGACTTTATAACATACATTGTGACTTTCACTTATTATTTTCTCGATTCTGTACTAACAGAAAACCAAGAGTTTAACAACATATGGAGTTGAAGTAAATGGTTAGAAAATCCATCCAACTTTTTAAGGAATATACTTGTTATAATCTTGTACTGAAGTCTTCGTTGGAAATGACCATCAGTTCAGCGGTTTGGTTCAAAATCAGCAAAGAAAGTAAGATCAATGTCCATTGTGCCATTGACTACTGCTGTATTTTTATACTTTTCGTTCGTTTTTTCATGAGTTAAACAATCTCAGTTTCTTTACTTATTCGATTGAAACATTTTATCTTTTTTGTCACCTATAGATCAACTTGTTTTTACATATTAATGGAGGGATGTCTCCTCTTTCCTTGTTGCCTGACTATTTAAAACATTTTTCTTCAGCTCCCTCTTAATGCTGTGACATCTATTGTTGATGGCTTGAAGAGAATGTACAATGAGAAACTAAAGCCCTTGGAACTTGCATATCGTTTCAACGATTTTGCATCTCCATTGTTAGTGAGTGGATTTCTATATGTTTGGATGTATATCCTTCAAAGTGTGTCGGGGAATCAAATATCCTTTTGCTCTTCTTTGCACTGTTTCGTTCAGATACTACATTTGCTAAACCTATGGC